GCAAACCGTTGGGAGCCGGTGACAAAACAAGTGGTTCATACTACTTTGGGACCACATAGGATCAGGGACCCAACACACCCTTGAATTTCAATGCCACTCAGTATGTATGTATGTAATCTCAGCGGTCTAGTAACTAGACATAGAGCCAATAAAAACCATGGAAATCAGTGGATAGGAGAGTCATTGCGTTATAATCATCGTGGCATGCTAGTTGAAGGTGGGCAACACACTTCAGCTAGTATGCCGCAAGAAAATGGAATATTTTGGCAAAAATACAGAACAAAACATTTTTAGTTTGTTTGTCACACTCCGATTTTTCTCTTTTTTGTCATTTTCAATATTAGTAAAATTAAACATGTGAATCAATACAACATTGTACACAATTTTTCCACTGATTCCGGTTGCGGGCCATGTCTACAAGAGTCCTAAGCCATTGGCACTCCTCATCTTTGGGTCCCCATCCTGGAAGACGTACGGGTCCAACAGCGGCTAGACGCGACATCAGCGATTTCATGTGCTGCCGCCAAGTGGAAGGCTGACCAACACGCGGTCGCTTCCAGCCAGGTCCTTGACGAGCGAATAGAGCGCGAAGCGGTAGACGCTCAGGTGCCATGCGTAGGACGTGACCGAGCCATCTTAACTGGCGCAACAAAACCAGTTTCTTGAAGGAAATACTTGCATTCCCCAAGATGCGACGTCGAACGTCATTACTGGTTACTCGATGTTGCCACCGGACACGAGCGATCCTCCTTAAACAACCGTTATCGAACGCAGAAAGACGACGCATGTCTTCCACGCGAATCGGCCAGGACTCGCTCCCATACAACAATACTGAGCGAACTGACGCGCTGTAAACTCGGCCCTTTAGTGAGAATGAGACGTCGCGACGACGCCACAAGTGCCTCAGATTGACAAATGCTGATCGAGCTTTTGCGATACGAAGCGAAACTTCTTTGTTGATAGTGCCGTCAGCGGAAACACAGCTCCCAAGGTAGACGAAACTATCTACCTGTTCAAGTTGTGCACCTTGGAGAGTGAGCACGGGTGCAGGTGAAAGCCAATCCTTGAGCAGTACTTTACACTTCGATGGGGCGAAGCTCATGCCATACTTAGATGCTTCAACCGCCAAACGATCCAGAATGAGTTGCATACCCTGAGGATCGTCACCAAGTAAGACGATATCATCAGCATAATCTAAGTCGGTCGCGCGTTCACCCGGTAGAAGCTCTAGGCCAAAATGTTGGAAACCTTCTTGGGCATTCGACAGAACGTCTTCGATTGCGAAGTTGAAGAGGAATGGGGACATAGGGCAGCCCTGGCGCACACCGCTATTGACAGCGAATTGCGAGGAAAGCTTGCCATAGACCCTCACTCTGCCGCATGTATGAAGGTAAAGTGCTCGTAAGATGGCGGTATATTTCTCTAACACCCCGTTCTTTAGTAAGCAACGCCATAAAGCAGGTCGATCAACGGAGTCAAAAGCGGCACGTATGTCTAAGAATGCAACGATAGTGGGCCTGTGATAAATGTGGTGATGTTCAAGGAGTTGGCGGAGCGTGAAGATTTGATCCACGCATCCGCGGCCAGGACGGAAACCAGCTTGTTCTTCACGGTAGTATGATTCACGTACTGGGGATAGTCTACGAAGTAGAATGGATGCCAACAAGTTAGAGGCAACCGAAATAAGACTAATCCCGCGATGATTTGCACATGAAGTGCGAGCACCTTTCTTGAAAATTGGGACAATAATTGATTCGCCCCAAGAGGAAGGCACTTTCTCTTCATGCCAAATTTTTGCGAACAGCGCGGTTAACTGGTTAATGACTGCCACACCGCCATACTTGAATAGCTCCGTCGGAATTCCGTCTAAGCCGGCAGCCTTGAAGCGCTTCAAACGTCGAATCTCGAGGCAGACTTCTGCTTCGCTGGGTGGATTCAATGGGACGAGCCAGGGTGGACAACAAGGTGTATTGCATGTACTGATGGATGATGGAGACCATTTGAACTGCGAGTGAAAGCGCTCGGCCCAGCGGTCCATACGCCTCTGTTGGTTGGTGATCGGAGACTCATCCACCTCACAAATGACCTCACTGACACCAGGCTTCCTGAGGTCAGTGGACCGGATGAGTTGGAAAAGCCTGCGAGTGTCACCAGTGAGGGCAGCAGTCTCCATCTCTAAAGCACGCTCAGACCACCATGTCTAGCGATCCTTGCGTAGGCTTTGCTTAAGCAGCCGGTTGGTAGAACGGCGCCACTCGTTGCAATCTGGTTCCGCGGGGATATCTTTGCGGCGTTCGAAGAGCTCCAGAGAACGAGCAGAGATCCAAGACTTCAAAGGGCGTCGAGTTAGACCGCAGCATGACTGTCCGGAAATGGTCAGCGCTTTCCGTATACAAGTCCAGTGTTGTTCCACTTCTTGCGGTGGATTGCAACTGAGTGCATATGCCACTGAAGACTGATAGCTCTCCTGGACAGAGGAATCAGTTGACCTGTTTACATCAATATTGCGGTGCTTCGTGTTTCGGGATCCTCCAAAACACATACAGATTCTCGCGCAGACCAGAGCATGATCTGAGTCAACGAAAGTAGACCAAAAGGACCTGCAGTCCAGTACGCTGCCGCGCCATCTGAATCTAATCGCAATGTGATCAATTCGAGACCAAGGTTGTGTTGGCGAAGGGGGACGCCACGTTGCGGAACGCTTCTTCGTACGCCTGAAGCTAGTGCTCGAAAGAAACAGACAGTTGTCCTCGCACAATGTGAGAAGTCTCTCTCCATTATCAGAGCGGTTCTCATCGAGCGCGTGATGACCACCAAGGTGGCGTTCGTATGGTAACAGGCGTCCAATCCGTTCATTAAAATCCCCAGCAAGGATAACGACATCCGACTTTTTAACATTATATATTTGCAAAAGTCTGCTAACAGACATAATGCCATCAGAAACCATGGGATTCAAACGAAAGTACAGAAACAGTACAATAAAACATAACACAACAATGTCCAAGGTTTCCTCAGAGGGCGAGATACTACCCGGTTGCCCAAGCCGAAGTAGGGTGTTGACTTAGGGGACACCACCCCGAGCCTTTGGCTGAATAGCCTGCCCGCAAGGCAGCGGAGCGAATTCAGGGAATCGCGCCCATTGGGAGCCGGTGACTGATTGCTCAGTTCATACGCCTTTCGTTTGTTCCTTTGTCAAACAGGGGCCCAATGCTCCCTAGAAGTACAGCATAAGGCTGCTGGAATACAATGCTTCGCCAGGTTGAAGCAAGGGGCAGTGACTTTATTTAGTGGCGAGTCACGTCCGCCACGTCACAGTGTTGTTAAACGGACATATGTGGCTTTTTATAGGGAGAACGCTTGCCAGGCGAAAACCCACCACGTCCTGGAACACTGCCGCCGAACCATTTGCTGGAACGGGAAAATCCCGAACCACCCAGCTGGCACCACGAGGAGGTTGTTCGGCAAGCCAGCCACTTTTTAACATTAGTCAAGAGCTGTTGTAGATCTCGGTGGAAATCGTCCTTGACCGAGTCGCCATTGCAGTCAGTTGGAGCGTACAAGATCACAAACAAGTTGTGTCTCTCTTCGCGGTGCCTGTTGATTCTACATGAACCCCGAAGCCGAACTGCACATAGTCGGCTGTTAATCGGGAACCAGTCCAGTAGTGCCGCCTCGGCCTTGCCACTCAGTGCTATACCTACACCAGCCAAACCCGCTGAGCTTGCTTCTGGATCTTCAGAAAGATGCAGGTGATATCTGGCTTCGTGGTCAGTGGGCGATGTCAATGTAAACACAGTGCTGGGATCTTTCAATCGGGTTTCTGAAAGACAGCAGACATCAATGTCTAGGGTGCGCGCTAGACCGGCTTGCTGTCCAATCTGCATGAGTGTTCGAACGTTGAAGCACGCCAGACGGAACGAGGATCGGGGACGAAGGAGAGCTATAAGTTGAATTCCTTGATCTGCGGAGCAACCGGAATCGCAGCCAGATTGTTGAACAGATGAATCGGGTAACCGAAAGTGAGGATTGTTAGCAAACAAACAATTGGCGTGTGATGGAGTAGCGTGAATGTGAGTAGCAGGAACAGTAGCTGATGAGCGCGTTGTAGGGAAGTCCATGGTTTTGAGAGGGGGCGTGATACTACCCGGTTGCCGAAGCCGAAGTAGGGAGTTGACTTAGGGGACTCCACCCCGAGCCTTTGGCTAAATAACCTACCCGCAAGGCAGCGGGGCGAATTTAGGGAATCGCGCCCATTGGGAGGCGTTGACTGAATGATCAGCTCATGCGTCTTTGTTTGGTAGATTACCAAACAGGGGCCCAATACTCCCCATGAAGTCAGCACAATTGCTGGAATACAATGCCCCACGGAGGTGGAACATTGTCGCCGAACACTTTGCTGGAACGGGGTACACCCGAACCACCCAGCTGGCACCACGAGGAGGTTGTTCGGCAAGCCAGCCAATGCCACTCAGAGAGAGACAAGGGGCAGTGACTTTATTTAGTGGCGAGTCACATCCGCCACGTCACAGTGTTGTTAAACGGACATATGTGGCTTTTTATAGGGAGAACGCTTGCCAGGCGAAAACCCACCACGTCCTGGAACACTGCCGTTGGAACGCGATAATCCCAAACCACCCAGCTGGCACCACGAGGAGGTTGTTCGGCAATCTATTTGCAAAGTTAAATCACCGGCACAGTTGACTTCGACGTGTACTAACAAGTAGCTCCTCCAGTGGCTAGCGATCTTCGAACAAATTTAAAGTAGCTTCCGGTAAACAAATCAACGCATTGACAGGCAACCTGAACCGCCATCATTTCAACTCATCTCAAGCCAAGTATGACCAGTAACAAGCGACCAAGCTCACGCAACTACCCACTTGTCCACTTATATTTTCTGAATCATTTCTAGACCGCTTCCCTTGTTCAATCCGTTAATCTACTGTTTCTCCACTTTGCAATTCTTCCATGACATCTAAGAACTGTTTTCCCTGCTTTTTCAGACAGTTGATTGGCTACCGGACCCACAGAGTATGGTGGAATCTCCTTCCACGGATTCCTCGCACGAGAACGGGTCGAGAAGTGAGTTTTTGTGTTGTATCACAGCTATACTTCCTAATTCGACAGGGTTATTGCGCACTACTCGCTTCCTGAGGCATTTGATGTATCACGTGACCAGCCGCAGCCGATTTGGATCGAAGCGAGTAACCAGTGTGTTCTGACGTGCCAACGAACATGATGTATTCATACGCCGTTTGAGGTTTTGAAGTAGAGGGCCGGCTTCCTCTCACTGAGTGTTAGTTTGCACTCGGAACAAAGTGCCATCCGTTGTTTGGTTGGGCACACTTGAACCAAAGTCTGTTAAGATGCCAATAAAAAGATTTTGGGTAACTGATCGTAGGATTTGGCTCATTCGTCTTTTTTTAACCTTTTTCCTTCACCTCTCGTCATTCATTGGCTGTTGGATTTGTTCATTACATTTCAATCTCCCTTGAAACAGGCCTCGTGCATTCGTATACACGTTCCATGCAAATAACCACTTGTCTTAGTTTACCGGTTCTATTGGAGTTTAAAGCTAACCTCACACCGTATATTGCATGCGATTATACGTACTTCTAGCAGTCTCATCTACGTCACAAGGTTGAGTCGTTTGGTGTGCTACTGTACCTCGAAATACCATACTGATCAGGATTTTGGTCTAGGTCGGGGTAAGCCACTAAAGGCTGCTTCTTTCTAATCAGCCCATCGGATGGAACACATCTTGTCTAAACGGTAATGTGGATGGTAAACATTATAACTGCGCCATGTCTAATGTGTATCACACCTTCAGTGATTAGCCTGGCGAATAGCGCGATAGTGTTACATGAACCCCATCATATTCGGGTTTCGGTTGTGTATGAGTGCGGTATATTGCTTCACCATAATGTGGAAAGACCAATTTTTGAAGTCGTTGGCTGCAAAGGCTGAAGCTTGAAGTGGCTCAACTTGCCGGTGGATCTGGTTGGTTACTAATGTGTGTGTTGGCTTGTCCGATCTAACACTTTGCGAACCCTTGACCACGTGGGGAAATCATCTGCGCACATCTCCAGATTCCAATCAATTGGTGATAAAATGTTTGCAGTCCTACTCATCTTGGTTCACAAACAACCAAGTTAAGGCTTAGGGTTAAATTTGCTGCACTTCCGTTGCTGCCTCACATGCCAAGTCGATCCGTTCTTCGAGACCAATCCTCACTTCGTCTAGTCTTATGACGCCCCACCAGTGGCTTCCATCTAACAAGCTGACTCTTGTGTCGATGTACTCATCTGACTGGGCAGTAGGATAGTAAACGTGTTGTCACTGTTTGCCTAGACATAAGCGGTATGCAGTTGAAGTCTCTGACCTGCGTTCGTTAGTGGTCAGCGTGCTCCATCACTATTAGCTACTAACTTGGACGCTCGCTTGAATTAGCTAAGTGTTAGTCGTTAGTTTCTCTTATCTCGATTTTGTAATGGGCTCTGCCGAGCGTTTACTTTTAGCTATGGGAAATAAGCCACCATGTTGGATCTATACTAGCGGATCAGTCGGTACAATAGTCTCCTAAACGTGTAACGTTACATGTTCCGTCCGTTATTGGGTCATTAGGATGTTTTACTGCGATTTTGAAACTTTTTGAGATTGTTTCGTGAGTTGCTGTTCACGCCCAATGAGCCTCGACATTAAGCCAGTGTGATAGTTTGCGTACCTCTGCGACCCATAGGGCTATGTTGGGTGGTGCCATCTACCCCTTGAGAGCCACTCCTGCCAGATAGGTGGTGAATGGCTAGAGATCAGAAAACGTCGGCTTCCTGACGCCCCAAGTCAGGAGTTGGGCCTGAGGTGATATTCATTTTTGTAAAACTTGATATTCCCGCTGCATTGCGGTCAGGTTTCTAAGCCAAAGACTGCTTGGTAATCCTACCCGTTACCCTGCCTAGGTTTGAGCACCCTAGTAGTACCCCAACCCACACAAGTGTTAATTTCTCACCAGCTTTCAGACACCTGCATCGGTCATCGCGCAACCTCAGAAGAATTGACTTATCTGCCGCGCATAGTGAGGCGGATAACCGAAAGCATGCTACTGCTGACGACTTTCTTCTTTTATCTCTGCGTCTTCCTCCTCCACCCCTCTCGACCTTTCTCACCCATTGCTTTGTTTTGTGGACATCGGTCTTCAGTGAAATGGTGTTTTGTCATCATCATCATCATTTAGCACACCGGTATGACTATCATAAATGCTGATGATCCTCTTAGATTCCTGCTGGCACCGAGCATATTGTGATGGCGCGTTATCAAATGAGAGCTAGGCATTTACCCATTAGTAGACAACAAGATCTGGTAGACTCAGTGCGCTAATGGAATAGAGAAGGCAGGAGCCACGGGTAACCGTCACAAATTATTCTAGCTGATTCACCCGTCCAATCGTTGGATCACGTACTTAAACGAAGCAATCAGGGGCAACAACGACTCCCTACTGGTGCGAACCCTCCTAGAGAACTTGCCTAAGTTCCGCAATATGCCACTAAAAGAAATTCGACTGAAGGCAGCAGGGACAAGCCCACGGGCTACCGATTGCTTAGTAGGGGTGGCAACCTCAGCTAATACATCCGTTAAGCGGTCCAGCGCGGCGACTAATCTAACAGCTGTGATAACATCCGGAGAAAAATCGCAGGGTGAAATTGACTCTCGGGTCATCGTGACCTAAAGTGTTTGATGCAGCGATGTATCCCAACTCCATCTCGAGAACCGGGGGTTCCTCAAAAAACGAGTAGTACTCGATCACAAGAGGGTCGGCTAAGTTACAAACCTGCTGCCTGTTAACATATAAGACACTTGTTTTGATATTATCGCACAAGGCCTTTGCAGCAAACTGACATAGCTCCGACTACGCCATGCTACGATGTCCTGGAACCAAGACATGGCTGAGTGCATTGATCACTGACGCTTAAATGGTACTACCTGGAATGCGTTCTGCTCAACGATCGGCCGAATAGAGGAGGGGGTTTACTACTGTATTAACACAGTGATTACCCGGACGTCCAGGTTGTCGACGCGCTTTAGTGTCGTCTTCACCTAAGACATGGTGACACACGTTTAGTGGGCATCGTGTACTTCCCTCCGTCATCCACTTCAGAAATGGACAATCGCCTAGCTTCCACTATTAAAAGTATCCTCGCACAGACAGAGTCACATTCTGCTGGTTGGTGACTTCAATTTCCATGCCATAGAAACCCAAGCCTGTCTCGATAAAAACTTCAAAATAAAATCGCAGGAGCTAGTCATTGGCTTGCAATATACAACAACCTTACCTCCCTCACAAGATTCAGGAGGGGGAATAAACCAAGTATCCTCGATCTCGTGTTCACCAACGAGGGTCTTATGATCGAAACGGTATCGATGGCTAGTTCTTTGGGTCACAGCAATCATGCAACAACCAAATCTGTTATGCAGAATATTCCGCAGAAAACGCTGATGACTCCAAGTTTATTACCGATTACGCCATTCTGACCACACTCCATAATGCAACTGATTGGTCGTTTTTAGTTGAGCTATCCCCTGATGTCAACTGTTAGGTTTTCGTTCATCGATACAAGTTAGTTGCCAGTGCTTCGAGATGCTTGCCTGCGCGCGCGATGTGAGCGAAATCATTCATACGCAGTAGGACGCGGAAATGTATGGTCACAAGAGATTCACTTTGGCGAAAATACAAGGAGTCGCGGGTGCCGAAACATGGGAGGTCTGCACTATCCAGCGGAATTTGCATGAATCTGGTACGCGAAGGTAAACTATGCCATCAACAGGATCTAGCTGCTAAATTTTCTTTAAGCCCAAAACTTCTTTATATATATGTTAACAAAGTCCGTAAAGTGCAACGGGGAATTCCTGCCCTTCGCACGCCGTGGACCAGCACACACTGACCCTTGGTGGGGATCAGCTAGAAGTCGTTCAAAAATTCAACTATCTAGAAAGTTGTATCAGCGCCCGTGGGATTGAAGATGAAATCACGAATCGTATAGCAAAAGCTCGGGGCGCTTTTGCTAACCTTCGCCACTTATGGCGCCGGCGCGACATCACTCTCACCCTGAAGGGTAGAGTGTACAATGCAGCAGTACGTTCGACTCTACTGTACGGTTGTGAAACCTGGCCGCTTAAAGCAGCGGACCTGAAGAGGCTAGTTACGTTCGACCACCGGTGCCTTCGTAATTTAGCTCACATTTGGTGGGAACGCCGCGTGAGCAACGAGCGTATTCGACGGGTTGTTTACTGCATGGGAAAAGGAAATGAACCGCTCAGCACCGTTATCTCACGCATCAGGCTCCGATGGCTCGGCCACGTGTTACGCATGCCAGCCCACCGACTCCCGCGACGTGTATTGTTTGCGCGCCGGGGGTGTGGATGGAAGAAGAGGAGGGGTGGCCAAGCGATGACTTGGTCCCGAGGAATGAAGGCCCTCACTTTTGAGCTGGCCTCGGCTCCCTGGTTGGGGTCCGAAAGACGATGAACACGTCTGGTTGGACACACTTGCTGATATGGCTAGGAGCCGACCTCAGTGACGTTCGTGCTGTGAGTTTCTGTGTCCCACCCCATCCCTCTTAGCCTCCCCCTCCAATCACGATCTCATTATTTAGCCTTATATAATCTTGCATGATTTTTTTTCTTTTTGGTTGCACAGCAGCCGGCTGGTAGCTTACCGGAACGATGCCCATCCGTTACCGGTAGCTCAGCCAGCTTGCACCAGTTGCTTTTTTCTCCTTTTTTATGTATTGCGGCACAGTAGCTGAGGTGTTCCCCACCTCTAGCTAACGTGTATGATGCTGATGATGATGATGATGACTGCTGTAAGATGTCAGTTACTTGCTGGTAGCTGGATAACTGAAGACATTGGTGCACACATACGCAATAACTCTGCGGCTTTTCGGAGCAGCAAGTATTTAAAGAAACTGCGTGATGGGAATAGTGTATCAGGCTAATGTGAAGGAGTTTGTAGCATGAGCTGTCCCCCAACTGGTGCTGATTACAATAAAATAGATTCAACTGACCATCAGTGTCCGCGTAGTATTCACATTTACTATGACGACGGAGTAAGCAACGTCGTCTATCACATGGTGGTTGCTAATTACAGTCAAGTGAACTCGAACTGCCAAAACTGTCTGGGCTCTGCGTGTCGTGATGCTTCAACCCCGCCGTTCTGGAATGGGTTGTCGGATGAGTTTGTACCTGGTGGACAACAGGGAAAAAGCTTATAAAAAAGTGATGCGAAGGCCGGCACCATTTGATGTGAGCTATTCTCTTGGATGCGACTTCCGACTCGGTCACATCAACAGTTTGAGAACTGTCTTCACCCGAATAACTTATGGAGCAAGGTAGAACTCTCGTATTCAGTCACTAAGATACAACTCCTCCATTGTTAGAATAACTCCCAAGTCATTCTGAAGTCTAGTGGCGCAGAGGTGAAGGCTTCAGTCGGCAGGCCGTATCTCCCGTATTTAACTCTTAGTACTGTAATCGCTACGTTGCGAGAGTAAGCATGTGCCAAATCGATTCTAGAGTGCAGAGTTTTCCTTCGAGTTCTCTTTCCCATTTGCACTGCTTTATTGGTCTTCGCAATACGCGAAACAATTTCAACAACCACCAGTCCAGCCCTGCGGATGCGGCTGCTTAAACAGGCAAGTTGACTATCTCCAGTTTCTCGGTATCAAGATTCAAGGGGTCATTAAGTAGTTGATGATCTGCAGCAATAATCTGTACATTGAAGGTGAAGGATATATGTCAAATAATGGGATTACTAAGGAGAGTCCAAGGAGATAATACTGAGCTGCCTCGTTATATTCAAACCGGAAGACGCTATCAACCGTAGAAACAGAATCGAGTAGTTTCCCACCAAGCAACTTTGAATCACAACTCACCCATTGACAGCAATTTATAGCTGATTTACACCATAACTCGTATTGCCACGGGTGTGTGAATAGCAACACCTTAGGTGCGTTGTGATGTGGCGGCATTCCTTATGCTCTCAAACAACATTAACCCTCGAGTTATTCGATGCACTTCATGCATCTTTCAACATGCATCGTAGGATCTAGCGTATACGATTCTCCTCTTGTTAGCTCATTTCTTTCACTCTTTTACAATTGAGATGGCTTGTGCTCACGTTTCCTTGTTTTAAACTTGTCTTCCAGGCACTGTGGACTCGGACCCCGAAATTTGCATTGCTATTGCCTTCTTTCAGTGAGTTTACTCCGCACTTCCCTCTCTCTTGTTCAATATTTTGCCAAGCTGCTCGGTTCACACAACGATAAATCGAATGTGTGGCTTTTTGGGTCATGTAACTTCTCAAGCGCTTTACTGATAATCCATAGCCCTTACTGCCATTTTGCTCCCCTGGTGAGAGCATCCCCAATGGACGATACAATCACTACTTCTATACCCTCGTTGTTCTGTACTTCCACACAGTTTAATCAAATATGTGATTGGATCACGTCTTTGGACTCAACTCGAATTAATTTGAGATATTTAGGTTTGTTAGTTTTTCTGGATATTTCTTGTATCTGGTGAATTGTCAACAACATTCCCCCATGTCTGTAGTTGACGCCATGTGTTTCCATGTTCGACTTTCACTTTAACTGTAAGCAGCCGCAGATCATCTGCGCTTGCAGATAGACCATGACGGCTTGTGCCGCACCATCTACTTTCCCATCTGCGGATCCACGATAATCCCGCAAGGTTAAGGCTAGAGACATAACAGTTGGCAAATCACTTGTGTGGGAGCCCGCCTACGCTCAACCAACAAGCGGTTCATTCATGGATGAAGGAATCCTGCCAATAGTACTTCAGTATCGGGAAACCGTCCGGAAGCCGTACATACAATACGATGCGCGCCACGAAGCGATGCGCACATTTTCGGCTGATCCGATTGGCCTCCGAATCCATGTGTTTTAGTGGTCACTTACTTGAACGAAGCTGTGAGCGGGAACCATATGCCAGACCGGCAATGCGCAGTTGATGCGCCATAGTCCGTTCTGTAGGAAAACAACTAAGGGAGACCGCGCACCCGACCTCCTCTATCAAGGAGTACCTGCCTGCTGAACCCATTGATCAAAGTGATGGCGTTTAGCTGGACCTCCCCCCGCCTGTTAGCATTCGTATGCTGCACACCCAGATATTATCTTCCACCACACAGGCTTAGACATCCATAGTGTGACAACGCTTTTTCAGTCATCTCAGTTTAGCCCACCTTCAGTGGCTGGAGTGCCTTGTGTGTGTGTGTGTGTCGTCAGGAATTGGTGCATCGATTAGTGCTTGATTAAAAAAGCACAGAGAAATTGTTTGACGAATGATTCATAGTATTGCGTGGGCAGGATACTGTCAGGTTGCCCAGGCCTAGACAGGAGAACGAATAGGGTTCTCAACCAAAGCCTTTGGTTCAAAAACCTTACCGCAAGGCAGCGCGTTTGGCATTGGGCTACAAGGAGTCCGTTTTAAGGAATAAAGAGGCACCCTCATTCCAACCCCCAACCTGGAGGACCAGGAGGGTGAGTTTGTTTGGCCTCTTACCATTGACCAATCTGGTATGGGTGACTCTGAAGGTACAAAAGTACCACCCAGCATAGCTCAATGGATCACTGAGGCACACAAACCATCGCACCACGGTAAGGTCCAGCCTCATTGCAATACAGCGGTACATTCGACCCTACTGTACGGTTGCGAAACTTGGCCCCTAAAATCGGCGGACATGAAAAGGCTAGTTACTTTCGACCATCGATGCCTTCGCAGTTTGGCTTACATCTGGTGAATACACCGCGTGAGTAGCGAGCGTGTTCGACGCCTTGTTTACGGCACAGGAAAAGGAACTGAACAGCTGAGCACCGTCATTTCACGCACCAGACTCTGATGGCTGGGCCACGTGTTGCGCATGCCAGCTGACCGACTTCCACGACCTGCGTTGTTTGCGCGCCGGGGGTGTGGATGGAAGAAGAGGAGTGGAGGCCAAGCGATAACTTGGTCGAGAGGAATGAAGTCCGTCACTTCGGTGCTGGCCTCGGTTGGAACATCACGGCTCCCCGGTTGGGGTTCAAAAGACGATGAACACGTTTGGCTGGATGCACTTGCTGACATGGCAAGGAGCCGACTTCAGTGGCGTTCCTGCTGTGAGTTTCTTTGTCCCTCCCATCCCTTTTAGCCTCCCTCTCCACCTACCATCTCATTTCGTAGCGTAAAATATAATAATTTTTCTTTTTGTCTAGTAGCCAGCTGGTAGCTTACCGGAACGATGCCTACCCGTTTCTGGTAACTCAAGTGGAATGCAACTGTTGTATTTATTTGCCTTTTTTCCTCCATGTATTGCGACACAGTAGCTGAAGTGTTTCCAACCTCTAGCTAACGTGAATTTAATAAAGCACACCTTCGACAGTGATCATGGTATCTAAGGATTTAAACATTTCTGGATGTCGACCGTCACCGGCTCCCAATGGGCGCGATTCCCTGAATTCGCTTCGCTGCCTTGCGGACAGGCTATTCAGCTAAAGGCTCGGGGTGGTGTCCCCTAAGTCAACACCCTACTTCGACTTGGGCAACCGGGTAGTATCTCGCCCTCTGAGGAAACCATGGACATTGTTGTGTGTTTTATTTTACTATTTCTTTACCTTCGTTTGAATCCCATGGTTTCTGATGGCATTATGTCTTCCTAGACTTTTGCAAATATATAGTGCTCGTGCGAGTCGGGTACATTGGGACAATGTGGAACTGGCACAGTTGAACTGTGCGTACGATTCTAAAGGCTAGACGAACTAACGTGTTTACCTGTATTTGTTTACTTGAATTAAGATTTCGTATTAATAAATACTTGCTATGGCGACCAGGCAAAAATATCCCAAACGTTTTCTCCCATGTGTTATGTCCCTATGCGTGAACCTGTCCATGGCGACCACTTTTTATCGGTCCCTTGAGTGGTTGCCTTGGACAGGTTGGACTGTAATTTGTTTCTCGACAAAGCAAGACACATTTCGTCTTACACGGGCCGATCATGGTGTACAGAATTGTTTCAAAATAGTTTTAACTATTTGTTGCTGATCGAACATACATATTTTTGTGTATACCAACGTTTTTTGAGCGCATCCAGCCAAAGTGTCACAAGTCACTGCGTCAATGTTTCGGGCCAAATCCTGAGTATTGGCAGATTTACCTACCGAAGAGATGAAAAGTATAGGTATGATATAGTGATATGCTAGGCGCATTGTCAGTAAAAAGTTTGGATCAAAGAAAACAGTTTGGATTTGTTAGACATAGACGTAAAATCATTCCTACTTCTCTGAAGCAAGTGAGGGAAGGAGTCTATGAACCTTCTAATCAACAATTGTTTGCATTCGCGTACTGTGACGCAGAAGTCTGATGGTGAACGTTAATGTGAGTTGACGAGATAAAGACTGTGTCCATGTTGTTTAACCTTCTATTATTTTTTATACCAGTTAGAGACAATTGAGGGGTGCAAATTACACAAACGTGAACTATTAAAGCCCAAGGTTGGCAGTCGGAGCACACATGCGTTGGTCGTTCAGCTAACCCGATACTGCATATTACATGCCATTGGGCTCTTTTCAGTAGGCTTATTGTTCTGGCAGATTTTTCTTCTGAATAACTCAAATACTTCAACTACGATGAGAAATTTGTTTATTCGATCACGGAATACTTGCGGAAACGTGCGGGATCTTAAGAATAATAGAAGTCTGTTCCGTATGGTTGCACTTTGCGCCTATTTTACTGAACGACTTAAATACTGGCAGAATGAACTCTGTTTCGTGTTTCATTTGAATAATAGCTACACGCAAAGCAGTGGAAGTGTATCGGTTACATTAAGAACCTACATAAATCACAACGGGAACTACAACAACACAGATAATGCACACGGACCAGGTTATTACACTAGGTAATCTGACAAGCACGACCCTAGCTACTGGATGGTGGTGGACGATAACTATGCGCTGACACACGGTGCATCTGATCAGTCCAATTCGGTATCTGCCAAATGGCCCTTCACTTGATGTCACCTTACGCAGCCGAATGATTTGCACTACACTGTGCACTAACTTGGTCACTATCCTTTGGGCGTGACCTTGCACGGCCGTAGGTCTGACTGGCCGCCGCTTTTGCCACGCAACGCGTCATGGCAACGGTTGCCATGGTACTACATGTAATGACAGCTTTAAAGCCCATGGCTCCCGGAGTAAGAAGTAGTCGAAAAGAAGTGGCTGAGGATGCACATGCATCGTTAAGAGGAGTTCCTTCCCTGCGTTCTTCCCATTGTAACATACCTAACTAGCGTGCGAATTGCAGTTAGATAATGTTCCATCTCGTTATAGCGGCACTTTGACTATGAAAGCCTGTTCTAGAGTCACAGCTTAACTTTCCGTTTTTCTGCGCCCTAGCGCATGAGGTTTGACTGATGCAAACTGCATGTAGCTCTTGGTATCTATCGCGCTCACCTGGTGGATCAAAGAGTCGGTCGTCCACACGGCACATTGTCTCTGCGTGTTTTGCAACTCATGTTCTTGGCCGCAGCTCGAAACAAGGTGGCTCAACCTCGGTGGTCACCACTCTGCGTCATCTTCTGGTTTTACTTGCATGCTGCCCAATTGCGGCAGTTCTCGTGGCTACCAGACAGCATGCAGATTTGGTATGTGCGTTGGTGTGAGGGCGTTCTTGTGCATTGAATGCGCATCGATTGCCTACCGCACAGGTCTAGTACACAGTTTATCTGACTCCTTGCTGCGCCATCCTTCGCGTAACAAATACGTCTTGCCCCCAAACAGGTCGTGACGTTGGTAGCATTCGGTATTATGCTGCGCCTACGGCCAATATTACCATCCGTTCTAGCTGTTTCTATTTCACTTCGTAATTCTAGCAGATAAATCACTTCTATGGTCTTATTGCAGGCGTGAGTGGTCTCAATATTACACGTTCCGACGTGTTCATTAAAGGCCACTTGTGAGAGTCGATTGATTACCGTTTATTAGTTTTTCCGCTTATTGGCGACTGTATACACCTGGATGGCAATTTGCAAGCTTACCAACTACAGTTACCACATAATCACCACACACGTATTCAGAGAGGCACCGAATTCCAGACGCGATCAGGTCTATTCATCTTGATCATAACTCACGCTTGCCCGTGCATCGTGGACCTAAGTAGGGGATGGCTCTTTGAGTCATCACAATATGCTCTCTTTGCTCTCTGTCTTTTGAGATGCGTCGACAGGTCTCTGCGCCTAATGTGGTCTTAATTTTATTCCTTGTCTTCCGAGGACTGTAAACAATAGGCTGGTGCCTATCTTCACCTGTTTGCTCATCCTCATCGCATGATCTGACATCCTATATGAGTTGCCGGTGGTCGGTGGCCGAGTGGTTGGCACGTTTGCTTTCCAACCATAAGGTCACCGGTTCGAATCCGCGTAGGGGTGGGCGTCCTCGCGGTATACTCAGCCCGCGCGCGACTGGTGGTGGTCGCGCGGCAGCGAAGCGCCGTTACGGCGTATAAGCTGACACATTTCATTTTCATTTCATATGAGTTGCCGTGTAACGCAGTTTACCCACATTAATCTGGTTTCCGAGGCCAGTGTTCTCGTGCTTGGGACTTCACTTGGATAAGATGTCTGGATGGAGTAGCACTCTCGGGGGATTTAGTTGCAAGCTGTTGTTGCCCTTTACACACCCCGATTTGTACCAATCCCAAATCTGAAAAACACTCAGACTGACAAACCATACGAGCAGCAGCAAGTAGTCCCATTTGCGGGCTTTCTGCTATCCTCTAAAATGGTCCTTGTTTGTCACTACAGGAAATAATGGCTAAGCCATCTGTAAGTTATTTTGACCAACAATAGTATTTGCTTGCAATTAATCGGGATAACGATCTAGCCCTGGCCGACGTCTGGTTAGCCATTTTATTAGATAAGCGCTTTATCCCTTTTCACAGGTTTGAAATCTCTTTTAATGTGGAACTTGTTTGGAACCGTTTACAGATATACCTCATCGCCGTCTTCCTTTTCTTGACGGAGGCGGGAATTTTCCGATCCTTCGTATTCCCTCCAGAAGCTTGTAAACTGAATTCATCCATGGTTATTTGTAGCTGCAGATGTTTTAGGTTGTCTCGTGTGTCCGCCCCAATTTTGATCGTCCACAGCAACCCCTTTGCAAACCTTTCCGTGGATTTTTGATGAGGTCACGTGTCCACGCAAATTTTCTGCTCCTTTGCGTTTGGATAGCTCATGCTGTCTCATCTACATGTCTCGTGCCACTGCACAATGTCTACCATTGTACTAACATCCCATCTTCGTACGTTTTGGTCACGCCTCCGGCTTGTATCGCTGAGTCGAAAGTTCGTGATGTCAAGATAGTGATTTCACAGGAACATCTCCTTCGGTCTCTCACTCAGTGAATGTGCGGAATTTGTTGGGCCAGTCCTTCTTCGTTGCGAACAAGCCTTTATTGATGGTATCAACAACTCTTTCTGCTTGCCCATTATATAAGGAATGCTTTATTCCGTGCATTGCACGAAATTTGACTAATTTCGAAGATTTAATCCGGAAATAGTTAGCCATCTATTGTGTGCGTCGATGATGACAACGAGACTGCCTCCTTTGATTTGTCTTGTGAACTCTATCTGAACTCTTGACTTTTAAATCGCATGCGCTGGTTAAGAAAAGAGTCAGCACCTACGATGGGACTTTGGAGTCATTGAGTACCTTGAAGACGAGCGTGTCAAGTTTCCATTTTGGAAGCCTGTTAGGGTTCAGCAGGCGTGACTTCTTGCCAAACCCTTCATTCTCATTGCTGCAGGTTATTTTGCTGTGTGTTACAATTCGGATGGGTTGACGATGCTTTCTGTATACGGTTCACACAGCTTTCTACGATACGTACTGTACTTCGCCACTGGAATCTCTGTTGTGAACGTGTATCGAAAACCTAGCTTCACCAGCGTGGTCAGTGAGGTTCGCTCACTTTACCCTTTGCTCACACAGTTCACACAACTCGTCTCCAAACGCATTGGCTTATTCACGGACCCTGTGATTGATTTTATTATTAGAAAACGTCTTGCTGTACGTATCCGGATTTTTTCCACTATTCTATGCGCCCATTTTTGCCGTTCATCTAATTACCTGTTAAAAACTCTCTCCTTAGCGCAAAATCGTTCCATTTTCATGCACTTTCTCTCAGTCTCATCCCATCTTGCGATACCTGTCACGTTTCCTTTTGACTGCTCTTATATCAATCATTTTTACTTCTAATTATTGTGTTTTGTGTTAATGACACGTATTCCAAACTCCACGGTAACGGCATACATGCAAGACTGCCTGCTTGGACGCATGTAGTCTATTTCTATTTGGCTCTACTTGTCTCGTTTTTTTTCACCGAGTTATTCAGCTGGTTGTCTGGCCGTTTACCTAACTTGGTGTGTCTTACTTCAACAGATCAGTTTTTAGGCTTCCTCTTGGACCACTTGCATCACTTGTTCTTGTGGATCTAGGTGCGCGATCGACCAACATTGTTCATTTTACGCTGCCGTAACCATTTAGGACACCTAAAACGCTCTACTATGCGCATCTGGTTCATACATCGTGGCTTCTAGGCGCCTACTCACCTTTACTCCTTAGCGTTTACTCCACACAATATGCATTTGGGATATCGCATCTGCCTGCGTGGTGGCATCTAGTGTTCCTGATGTGATAGCTGCTGGTTCCCCTTTGTCGTATGCTCCGTATCATCCGCACGGCACCTGATTCCGTTGTCTTCTCACGTTGCGCCCGGTCTCACCTGATGTCGAACTCTAGTCAGTCCATAATATAACTTCCATTTTGATCCTTCTGCTACACTTCGTCTCTATAATTTCCATGTCAAGTGTGCTAACGGGCACACTCCATTCCGCCTATTCAAGTACATTCCATTTGTACTTTTCGCCTCACCGTTTTAGTGGCAGTACCCATACTGGTGGTTTCTCATGCTCTCTAAAGTCTTAATACCTAGCTTCCTTTTGCAATTTTCACCTGACACAGTTTGCCATCACTATAAGTCCACGAATTTAGTCTCAGACGACCCGTAATGTCCCGGGGAACCTCTATGTTTCCTGTTTCATTTCTCTCTATGACCGTTTGCTTCTCGTTCTTGCTTCGTGACAGCTGGTTCGAGCGTCAGCGCGCCCACCGTCAGGAGACTGGCGTGCAGCAATCTTCCACTCCACAAGAGGATGAAGAGACGTCAGATGAAGCAGATGAAGATCACCCTGCTGCTTCCGATGAACAACCCGTACGAATCCCCGTGTCCGACGAAGATGCCTCTGCGAGATCGAGTGAGTACCCTCGCTTACTCTGGAACTTTATCGGTCGTGTGCTTTCCTCCAGCGCATATGTCTGGTACCTTTTGTTTGTTATCGATGATGCACTGCGTCTAAGGCGTTGCACTGCTTTTTCGATTCTCAAGACGTGTAAAGGTTATCTCCCTTAGTCACAACACATCGTCTCCCATCATTTCGCAGTTCGCTACCGTCAAAGGGAGCTTACTGCTTTGACCACTTCCTGTCGCTACTGTTCCTGTTACTACAATGTTCTCGGAGCATAATAGGTTTCATTGGCTACTGCGGTGTCCATGTGCCGACTCTGGGGTATGAAGTTTTCTTCCGACACACAGGGATACTCATGCTGCCTCACCACCTCATCTTTTCTACGAGGTGCTAGGACTCACGGGATTGCGAGTCCCTGCCCGACTACAGTAGCGCACCTCGTGCGAGTTTTTTCATGCTTTGTAATGCGAATTTCGATGATTCTTATGAGGTATTTATTGTGTAACTGTGCCTTCTTTGGAACCTGATACCATCACTCCTGTTTTCATGTTTATTGTAACCGCACAACCAACTTCCATAAATGCTGTCCTTGCGACCCATTCAGAGTAATGAGAGAACTTACGTTGTCTAGTTTGAATTTCCCCAACTACCATTGTGAACATAGCTAAGCCAAAACCGGTTTGCTATCCGAAGTTGCGTTTGTATTCAAATTCTGTTAGACGACAATGCATCAGTATTTTGTTCAGTTCAATTGGTTAACTGAGCCGGGCACTGAATTTCGGTGGATCTGCCTAGCTCGTTTTGTATCCCAAAATTAACTGTGACGACAGGAGTCCAATCCATAACTTTTCGGTGCAAACGGTTTATACCACTGAGTTATGAGTGACAGACCTGGACCGAACGGCTTCTAACTGCTTGGGGGTACATAGTTGCTGCGCGGAAAGTCGTCGATCCATGGGAGTCAGACCTATCTTCTGGAATGTTCGTAACCTTCACGGTCTACTGCCGCCACCCTCGATCCAGTGGCACAAGTCGCTCGTGTCGAGGTACATGATGCAATTGCCGGTCAGACTGGGGTGTGACACTAAGAGACCCAATAGGAGGAAACGGCCGTCTCTTATTTACTACAAAAAGTCACTTCGATGGAGCATTCTATGAACAAGGGAAAGGAACCTTAATGGGGTCCCCTATATCTAGACTCATTGCAGACTGTCATGCAAACGTTAAAGGAAAATAAACTCCCAGTCTTCAACCCGAAATTATTTGCCAGATATGTTGACGACACGTTCGTGATAGTCAAACGCAGCCAGTTGCAGACAGCACAAAGCTTGCTGAACGACGCAATGGACGGCATTCACTTCGCCATGGAGACAGAAATGGAAAACAAACAACCTTTCTTGGACGTACTGATAACCAGAACAGCGGAGGGGGATTACGAACATCAGGAAAACACGCCCACAGATCAACTCCTAAATTTCAACAGTAACCAGTTAAAATGTCACAAAATCAGCTGCATACGAATCTTGTTTCGCTGGATAGAATCACATTATAATACTGAGGAAGCAAACTGCGAAGAAGGAAACCATCTGTTCACATTTTTCATGCGCAACGGATATCCACGCAACTTCATCCCGAAGGTACATAAACTGCAAGACTACAAGTGCCACACCTTAACCAACAACTGCGACACGGATCGCTTCGCGGTACGTCAAGAACGTATTGGAAATGACTGCTCGACTTCGCAATCTCCCCATCTGCTGTTAGCTCACATACCAACCGTTACTCTGAAAGGGAAACGTGAACACATGAACTTCGGAATGTTGTTTACAGGATACAGTGTAAACATTGTGATAAACACTATGTGGGCCAAACAGGGCGAGATTTATCTACGAGGTTACAAAAGCACAAGCGAGCCTGTCGAAACCATTACTCATCATCATTGGTCTCGACACATGTTTATGAGGAAGGGTACATATTTGATTGGGAGAAAACGGAGGTCCTAGCGCAGAGAGAGACAAGAAAAGGAAGAGAACTTCTCGAAGCATAGTTCTCTTCCGAGAACTCAATAAAGCTGCGCGTCGACTTAGACCCGACTACCATCATGAGTCTAAATAAGCCGGTGATCGAACTGCGAACTAGCAATGCTCATAGGACGTGAATCGAAGTAGTCAAATTCAAACATCGGTCTGTCCTCGGTCAAGAGTCGACAAACCACACAGTTTGCTTAGTATGCACTGACAAAGTCACCTCGACTGGGGATGAAACGTCTGTAACGAAATCGTTCAGCTCGCGGAAAACAGACCTGAACCTCAAAATTTCTCTTATTTATAGGCATTCGATTTAACCTAGACTTCTCCATAGGGTTAGTGTCTTGCCACCTAGAGATTACGATTAGCGAGAGCATATGTTAAAAAAAGTTGTGACCTTTTTCTCGCCAACTTATTAACCACACCTGCGTTACAATGCTGATTGGCACATTTGCGGTTATTAACTGGAATCCATTTCATACGATCGGGCCCCCCGCGCGTCCATTTCGTGCTACTCAGATATGGTAACTGCTACAAACCATTGGCTCGGTAGCACCAACAACACGAAAAATGCGATCCGCGTTGCGGTGATCTTCGTCTGTTAAAGATAACCACATTAGGACATTGTTGTCTTGTTTTCCTATTTGAAGGGCCTGTCGCATCCTAACCCCAAGGATTTGTATCCTTTTTCAGCCTCGTCTGTTGGTCTATCTGGAACTTTATACGGGCGTTGCAAAACCCGTTGGTTTATATTTCTGTTTAATGCGATCGAGGAAGTCAGAAGTAGTTCCATGCTGTTTAACTTGGGAGTGGAAAAAGGAAAAGGGCGGAAACGGAGAATGAAAGCGCCGTTTGTCACGTGGGCTTCTAGACAAATATTGGTCTTTGGCTGCCCCTCAGGAAAGATGCGATTCTGGTGTGTACTCATCGCTAGCATTGATCTCAACAGTCGACTTCATGAGACCTCATGTAGCCCTTAATTTTTGTCCTCGCATGGCTGCTTTTAATAGGAAATGATCATCGAATTGCTGCTTATCTCCGGAGAGACTGTTTAGACTGGGAATCAAATCTAACTAATGGCCTTTTGTAGTATAAGTAGCCTTGATCATGCACCCCGACAACAAATTGCGATAAAATATGTATAGTGACTATCTATTAAGTGGTATCTTCTGCCACATTTGCGAATACCTGGTAGCTGGACCAACGCATTTCTCACCTTGGTGAGTATATTTCGTTTATCAGACAATCTTAGAGATTATCACAAAATGACTCACTAGATCATGGTACCATTTCAGTCGTCTTCCGGTCTCATCGCCGTGTACTACGAATTTGCTGCTCGGTTACCATAAGTGCTTATTGTGTAAGGTGTGGTATAGTACGGGACATCCCGACCCGGGCAAAAAGTGATTTACTCAAAAGACTAACGAAAAGGTATTGAAGCTTTTAAATGGTCCTTAGAATTGGTCATTTTTAACTTTATTTCAACACTCCAGAGAGGCGCATAGATGGTTGCACCGCGTTAGCATCTGGTTTCCTTGTTTTCCCTTTTCCTGCACTACAGTAACGTGCATTGCAATGAATTATGATCTACCACAGATCGCAACTGATGCTTTAGTCTTTTCCATGTCCATATCTGCCGCTTTGTTAGTACTGAACGAGCCGGTCAGGTGTTTTGCGTTCGCCTTTATAAACTCGGATGTGTCATTTTTTCACTCTATCCAGCTTTTCCCTTTTGTGAGCTTCCTCACTGCAACTCATGTTGGTCGTTGTCGTAATCATCATCTTTATTGTCATGTACATTTACAGGGGTTTCTCCACTTGAACGTCTTACCGGTGAATATGTGGCCGAAGTGCTGGCTTCTGCCCCACGTGCTCGTCAGCTGATGGCCTACCGTGGTCGTCGTAGTTGTCGCACGGTGGTAAGTTGGCATATAGATTCTATTTCTCTCTCTCTCTCTTGAAATCACCTAAATTGGCATGTCTAATCGTTTTAGTCTTTCTATTTTAGCCATTTTCCCCGACCTATCGTTTGTGCGGAATTACTTTCACAATGTCCTGAATTGTTCCGAATATTGATGACGATACGCGTGATCAGGACCAAGTGTGCGATCCACAAACCTGTGGGATTTGTCCTGTTGATATCGGATCACCATCCTTTTGCTAGCCCTCCGATTGTTGGAGACGGGAAGTTGAAGATAGTTGATTAGTTCACCACCTCTCTCAGTTGCCTTAACATTGGCGGGTGTTAGACCGTTAGAACTGGATTCTTTTTTGTTGAAACTAGAGCTACATTCATGAATCTGCGACAAATTATGGTCAAACATGGGCTCTCTTCTATCGTAACTACAGAATCACGCAAACATCCGTTTTCCAATGCGGCACTGAGTTCGAACTCTTCTATCCAGAAATCGACTACGTTTTCTTTCATCTACTGCTTCTAAAGGAGCATCGTTGTTGTCGAGTCTCATCATCATATCTGCAGCCGTGAAGTCTGTGGGCACTATCATTTTCTAATGTCCAAAGTTTTAAAATGCAAATCGGTTTTCTATAGGCTTGTATTGTGACAGTTTTGACCTTGACACAAGAGCTTCTTCAGATCGACTCAATTTACTTTTTTGTGTTGACAAATGACACTGGATAAATTGCATTCAGTTGATCACGCAGCTACTTAACCAACTAGGTTTTGTTTTGCTTACTGGTTCTGGTATGATATACGTTCCACGAGAAACAGTCGTTACTCCGGTATCAGTAACCACAGTTCCGGTTTGTTTATCTTGCATTCTATACCGGCGTGCACGCGATCAACACTGCACTTGAATGGAAGCAGTACCAGACATGACACACAACTGCTACCAGCGGCTGGCATTCTGTTGCATCCTAACCGGACTTAGTGTGTCTATAAGATAAGAGAGATTAGGACGCACTGCATTCTAGCTTGATATGTTATCTTCACATGATCGTCAACTGTTTATAGCTGCATAGGATCCACGATGTGTAGCCGCTTCGATTTTGTTTGTTCGCATTTTAGTCCCGCATCGTGTTTTCTTTTGCTCCTCGTTGGTAAGTTTACATCACCTAACTAATTGTCGTGTATCAGTATCATTACCGTGTACCAGGTACCAGTTAAAAGTATCGACCTGTTGCTATTGCTATTGTATTGCTTCCTCTGTCACCACATCATTCACCATGGTCACACTCATGTTACTCTTCGTCACTGCAGATAAAAACAGCCACATTCTGGGGCCGCGATTATATTCTCTCTGGCTCCGAGTGTGGTCACGTCATTTCGTGGAATCGTTGGACCGGTGAACCGGTCGGAGCCTTGAAGGCAGACGACACGGTGGTCAATCGAATCGCTCCTCACCCCACCTTAACAAGTGAGTTTTGTGCACTTACGCACGCTTTCTGCATGCGGCTTAATTTAGAACTCCGGCTTTCGGACGTGACCCATGAGAGTAGAAAAAATGACCCATGGCTTCTTGAATTCGAGGCTGATTTACCACATTTGTTCACGAGATCCGATACGCAATTTGAAGGTTCAGTATCTCGTTCTGAGTTATCTGTTGAGGTTCGTTTAATACAGTGGTGACTAGCGCCATGAGATTGCTATTCTGTGGATTAAAACGCTCAACGGCTTCTATACGACTGAATCCGAGAACGAGATGCATGTGCTTATGAGACAATGTGCTTATTTTACGCCCTATTTTCCAATTCATTGCATTTGAGGCCGATGGTTTTCTCACCTGTTGTCCGCGTTGCTCGCATCGCGGCTTTCACCTGCCTCAGACCCGCAGCATAGTTTGTGCATTAGATATCGGCGCTGATGTCTCCGAATTGTACACTGTCGTGATTGGCATTTCGCTAATAGTCGGAGTCTTTGCGACCGTTCGAAAAAGATGTCAATTCGTCCAGTGGCAGTATCAACCCTTTTGATCCTCTGCCAGTGTTGTTTGCATATTCAGGATGCGAGTATATTGAGTTGGTTAATTTTTCTATCAAATCTGCTCCGAATATCGGTGTATCTAACCCTCTCCTTGCTACCCGAAAATGACGACGATGGGACCAAAGTGAAAAAACAGCAGTACGCATTGTAAACAAACTACAGTGACATCTGCTCTTCTGGAAATTCGAACCACGACACTCTTCAGAAGGTGCGATCATGCTACTCGAAATTACGCCTAATCATGGATTTGCAGCGCTTGAAGTCGCTTGGCTAGGAACTGGCCAACGAGAGTGTGTGACAGCCAATATCAACCAATGCGAGCGAATGACGTTCGCAGTCGACGAATGAGAACGGGCGACAGGCCCAAGCACTTTTTAGTGGGATGGAAACGCTCGGTAAGGTCATGTGCTAGAAGTTTGTTCAAAACTATTTTACAACCATGTAGCACTGCATCTCTTTGGTCCTTATCGTAGGCTGTTGGCAAGATCTTCCTTATCCTTATCTCGGGGTTGGCTGGGCGAGGATCCGCAACGGTAGCAGTATATCGCCTGTATTGATAGCAGGAACATGATTGGTATTCAAAGCTAATGACAGTGTACAGATATGCACGGGAGTTCCTTGCTATTTACTCCTCTACTGTGCTTCATACAACCCTCCTTAGGATCTCTGCTCGTGTTACTTAAGGTTGCGTGACAAACAAGATGGCGAAAATTTGCAAAGCACCAAAAATGCGATTTTGTAAAACGCGACAGTAGGCGTATGTACTGGTAGGTATAGATACATCATCACAAAAGCCCAATAACTCCCCTACTACTTACACATAATCAGTAGTCGCCTTAGCAGCTCACATGCCACCCTGATTAGTGACAGCTTACAAAGGAACTCGTGGCTCTGGGGGTTAGCACTGTCCTCTGCATGTTCGTAAACTGCATGACAGTGGAGCATGAGCCGCGCTATGTCGCAGCTAGATATCAGTCATGGCCGTCCGCTGCCGTCGCCCATGGCTCAGCGGCATAAGTTGCTGGCTTGCAAGAATAAGGTCGCGGGTTCGGATCCGGTAGCATTCGACGGGTGCGCGGTTCTGACGAGTCCCGCTAGGACGAAACGATCGTCTAGCGTTTTTAGCAGGGAAGGACATCACATTTACCACTAGAGTGTCGCTGAATTACTGACAGCGTTAGTAACTGCTACAGCTTCTAATCCCATCGTTTATTTATTACTTGATAGCTCTCCGCCGTCTGGCATTTCCCCCCTCTTTTCCGTTTTGTTTTTGCTTGCGCGTCTATCTACATCCATTTTCCATTTTCATTCCATGGTGGCACTTTTCACCTCCGCGTCCGGATCACGTTTGCCTGATCAGACAGAACTGAACTGCTGCTCACATTTGATCACCTTTCTACTTTCAATCTGGGAATTCGTTTGATAAAAGACGTGTCTGTATGAATTCTCGACTGGTTTAATAAAAATTAATTCTTCTACCTTAGGCTCTTTAGCCTCAGTGCTTCCGTCTTAAATCATGAAACCTTTGGCCTCATCAGTAATCAGTCGGATGACCCACCAGATATGGACAATGTCTCGCTGTCACCAGCGGCGGATATACAAACTCCGCTCACATTTGACACATTTATTGTACACACAATGCGGTCATTTGCGCCGCAAAGTTGTATGCTCTACTTTTCACTGGTCAAAACCTCGCCACTATATGCCACCTTCCGGTTACTCATTTCCGAAATAGGCTTTAGTGCAAAATCTCCCGCTCTTTTCTGTCGAATTCTGGTTCACAACTTTTCATCTTAACCCTTTATGTCCTGGCGGTACTCATAAGTACCACTTTGTTTAAATTGTGATACTGCATCAGTGCAAGCGTCATTCCTGCCGGCTAGTCTGCGAGGCTAGTCTTCTGTCAGCAATTAACTAAGGAACAGAATTCCGATACTTGATCTACAATGTGTGGAGTAAACTTTTGTGATTCATGTCAAGCTATGGGTAAATTAATTCAGGACTCAAAGGGCCAATAGGACTCGTCTTTAGGGACCCTATCGGGGACTTACATGGTTCATCTAGTGTTGCTGTATCTCGCTGATGTCAGCCATAGCTTGATCATTCCCATTCGCAGTCTTTTGTAGTCAACTTGCGCTTTTCTATCGCAGTGCCCACAGCTGTAGTCAGTTACTGGCGAGGTTAAGTCGCTGCGCACCATTCTAGCTTATAAAAGCGGAATTTACTAAGCCAGCGGACAGTGTCCAGGTTAGCAGAATCGCACTTCTTTGCCACTGTGTCAGTTTTAAGCGGTCGATTGACGCTTGGTCCTCTAGAGTCCGACTCACCACACGAAACGGTCCACCATTGAGCAAAAACGTTGCACGCTCTTGGCTTACCGGAATGAGGATTGTCATCGAATGACAGGAGAGGAGTGACCTGGTAAGCGCTGATACTAACACAGGAGATACTCAACACGATCAACTAAGACCCGTCTTAGTAAGCATGCCAACGGATACAAACTGGTTCCTATAACTATTATGGAAATCGATGTGTGCTTGTGGAAGTGGCGCTCTCATCACCAACAAACGGGCTTCTTCCATAGTATCGAGCTCGTTAATTTTCTTCCTATTTTACTTGACCGACAGACATGAAAACGAAACAGTTATTCGCGGCGCTCCGAGACCACATATCGCATATCTTATGATGACTTGATCCGTCACGACGACACTGGACCCTAACGTGATGTGACGGTTTGCTTACCTCGTCGACCCATTGAGCTATACTGGGTGGGCCTCTTAAGAGCTACTCCTACCAGGTTGGTCAATGGTTAGAGGTCAGACGAACTCAGTCTCCTGGTCTTCCAGGTTGGGGTTTGAAATGGGATGGCGTCCATTTCTGTAAAACCGAATCGTTGCCATATCCGCTACCTTGTTGACAGGTTTTTGAGCCAACGGCTTTGGTTGAGGACCCTAATTCTCTTGTCTAGCTCTGGGCGCCGTGGCAGTGTCTCAGTTCACGTACAACCATGACTTCTTCAAACTTCAACCATATCTTGTATTGGCCGTCGCACAGATTAACAACGATTGCCTTATCTGCTGCATACACCAGGGCGGATAATCGAAAACATGCTGCTGCTGACGCCCCATTTCCTTCCTTTCCAACCGTTTCTCTTACTCCCCTCCCGATCCGCATTACTATCCTTCACAGTTTAATTGACAGCAACCACTGTGTCGCTGGAGTCATGCCATCTGCAGCTATGTTCCCGCACCACCCACGGACGCTAATCGCCAGCAGTCCTTTCTAAGGCCACACTGCCCCGGTTCTCTGGCGGCTTTCAACGTTCGCACTCTAAGACAAACAGGTTAACTGGCTGCACTCGCACACACGTTAGACACGCTAGGTGTTGACGTGTGTTATGTGCCTGATACTAATATCAATGACCCTCACAACGTTGTTTAATTAACTGCACCCGGCTTATCCTCTCTTTATTGGTTGCACGCATTCGGAGACGCTAATGCGGCAACAACTGGTCAAGCTGGAGTGAGCATTTTTCTCAGCTCCAAGTCCGAGTCATCATTGGTTGATTGAATTCCGATGAACAGCCGTTTATGTGCAGTCCCTTTGACGACATCAGTTAAAATTGGTCCACGGAGTAGGTCTGATGCTGCAAAGGATGCTTTCTACCACGAACTGAACGCGCTACTACGCAGTGCTACTAGTTCATTGCATGGGCAGTGAATGCACAAGTAGGTCGTCTGAGCTCTTCAGAAGCTTTTCTAGGTCGTAAGCATGGGCTTAACTTCGAACTGACGAGAAACTGCGAACACCTGTTGCAACTGTGCGCGGAGCACCGGCTGTTTCTTAGTAGCACCGCATTTAGACATAGTGGGTGCCGAAGTGCCACTTGGCATCCTTTTGCAGCTGACCAGCGATTGACCCAAATAGATCACATTGCCATAAGTTACAGATGACGTGTTTCCATCTTGGATTGTCGCTGGTTCTGCAATACTTGCGTCGACTCTTATCATATCTTGGTACGTTGCTGTTTTTCCAAGAGCTTTGCCGGCAGTCCTTCCAAGTGCTTTCCTGGATTGGCAACTGAGAAGTCATCTCAGTCCTCTTTCAGGCAAGCCTACTAGGATGCCCTGCGTACCGAACTTTCGCTCTGTTGTCCTAATGACATTGAGCTTCAGTGGAATAGGATCTCGGCCACTATGCACGACGCAGGAGCATCTGTTTGTGGCACTATCAATCGTCACCGCATCCGTCACTGGATATCCGAGAGGTCGGTGAACCTGTTGCAATCCAGACGAAAGCTTTCGGCTGGCTCTGAGCCCAATGTGACCAGTCATTATCATCATTATACACGTCAGCTAGAGGTGGGAAACATCTCAGCTACTGTGCCGCAATACATAAAGGAAAAAGGCAAATAAATACAACAATTGCATGCCA